GGAGGAGGTGGCCGGACAGCGCTCGGGAGAGCGACGATGGCTTTCCGGCCGGAATACTGGCACCCAGTTCCGGCGACTTCCGGTGTTTTCCTGCCGGAACCGGCCCGTACTTTTCGACCTGGGTCGATTAGATTGAATGACCAAAAATCAATGATACGAAGTTTGCAGAATTTGATGATTGTCGAATAATTTTGATAATTTCCGATTCAAGATAGTTTGAACCATGTTTATGCACATGCGATGTGGCGTTATCGTGACAAAACTTTATGGAATGCTTACTACATGATGATCTTTTTTTGAGAGTTTTCTCTCTGTCAGAGTTTCCGAGCAATTATCGATGATTTCTCTTGAAATCCACAATGAATTGTCATCAGAGAAGACGTTTTGAAAAAGACACAAAAAGAGAGTTTTCGAAGCAAAGCTCCTACATCGAATCACAATAGACGACTTCCTTCAATTAATGTACAAGCAGCATGAGACGATTTTTGACTAATTTATTTATGAGAAAACCATGACTCGTCATATGCCACTACATTATCATGTGCATTGCTGGAATTCTACTAAACTTACTTGACAAAACCAAACCCATCCGGCTCACTAAGTGTCTGTCAGCAAGTTGGGCACCCCCCAGCGGCCATTGATTGTTTTTTCAGGTTTAGATGATCAAAAATAAATAATATGTCTAACTGGATCATGACTCTTACCAGTCCCCAGTTGTATTTCATCAATCGTATCTACTATTATGCAACTGGGTTTGATACTCGACACTCGACTCAACATGGAGTATGGGTCCGAATGCAAATTCGCTGGACCGGATACGAGTTTTAGATTATATTCAGCAATCAATGATATCGCAAAGTTTCAAAATATTTTTACACTTTCAAACTGCTAGTTTATATAAAAACACAGGAGTGAAAAGTAATTCGTTTCTGATTGAGTAATTTATTGTTTTTGAGAAAAGATTACAGAAGTGGAAATCGACATTTTTTTTTTACTAAGATCATTCGTTCTTAATGAAAATTTAAGTACAGATGATAATGAACCATATGACAAAGTAATTGAATATATGCAGTGGAAAATAAATTATAAAATAGATGAATATGTATTATCTTGATTAGAAAAACATTCATGTATGTATCGACAATTATGATATTTGGCACCAACACTGAATTTCATTCCAGCGTCATCAGCAACAAGTAATAATTAACGAATTCGATCGGATTTTAAAAGTAGAAAAACACCAAGTGAACCCTGAATCATTTAATTTACTTGTTTTTTTTTGTGGAATTTGATATAATCTCTTTTTTTTTTGTTGCTGCTTATGGAAGGCACTAAACAGTATACATTTTCATATAAAATAGAAATTTGAAAACTATGCTATGACTTTACAAGTATCTGTCAAATGTCAATTAGCACTGAATTTGTCGGATACCGGTATAAAAAAAAGTACTCGCTCGAGTCCGAGTGCAAAAGATACTATCGGTACAGAACACTAATTATAACATGAAGGTCATTAACAATGAAGCAAGAAATTTCTGTAATATTTTCAAATGTTGTTTCGGTTACAGAGCACTCTTAGTACTATATACATATGGACAGAAGTTTCTCTCAAGCTTTCTATATTTTTATATAATATGCATCTTGATACTTTTTGTATGCCCTAAATATATTTATGTAATATGAGTTGTTTTGCACTCAAGGGAGAAAAGCAGAAAAAGCAATTCTCTAGCCAGCTATTCGTCGCAAATAGTATCATATTTTTTGTGTTGAAACCAAGTTAGGAATAACTTCAAATGGAATGCTAAGAATACATTTTACAACAATACAGTTCTCTATTGGTATTTAAAAGCGTTTCGTCTACACTCCTCCTTTATTCTTTGAATTTTCTTTTGTATATGAAAGAAAACTTTTATCTTTAAAGCATTTCAGATATTTTCTGATAAGTGTCTTCAAATTACATATAATATTTATTCATATGAAAAATGTGTTTATTACTTATTTCATGTTATATCATGATAAGTCATTTAGTTCTATGGTTAGATTAATAGAAAGAAAGATGAGAAAAAAGAATGTGAACACAGAGTTCGAATAGATAAGAGAGTGGAATGGATACAAGTAATATGCTGAGGTTTTCAACGATTAATAAATCCAATTAAAAAAAAACCTAGTGCCAGTTATATTTGTACAGAAATTTGTTTTATTAAATGATACTTTTTATTTGAATGTTTTTTTTTTCTTTCATGAAAAGTACTTTCATCTAAAATCATAACATAAGCGAATTTTTATAAAGATCAATTAGTTGTGTCCGAAAGGTAAATTCTAAACCAAGAAATTTACTGAGAATGGAAAGCAAACTACAGATGATTCTAACAAGTCTTTACTCTATCGTTCTAAAATATCGTGAAAAGTTCTGTTAGATCAGGTTCTAATCGAACTTGCAAAGATTTCAGCAAATATCATTACGTTAAGATTGCTTTATTTACGTTCTAATCTTTCCTTATAATATAGTCGTGATTACAAACAGAATTTTAATTAAATTCAAAGTACTCCAGAATTACTTGAAGATTGGGAACATATATAAAATTGGAAATCAATTTGTTCGAGAAAAGCAAACACAATTTTCAAGTTACAATTTAACTTTATTTGTATTCTAGACTCCCTAAATCAACAATTCTTTATCAGTTAATTCAAATGATTAAAATTTATTTCAATATTTATTTAATTATTTATATTTAAACGTATAATTTAGTTCATATGATATATGATCAAAAACAAATCTCGTGTTTTAATAGAATATAAGAGTTCATATTCCAACATTGAATTTTTTATTCTGACAACAATACCGAAAAAAAAATAAAATAAAAAGAATTCACTTCAGATTAGATAAGAATATTAATCATATGTAATACTGCGTGTTATGTCAACACACCAAACCCTGTAAAATGTGTCATCAGAGTAAAAAAAGTCTCTATTTGAGTTTTGATATAAAATTTTTTTTCATATCTATAATAAATCTCATAAAATAACTTCCGATTTTTTGTTTTATTATTCATAATAATAAGTTTAATATAGAAAAAATTTAGTACGAGAACGAGATTCTATATGAATGACCTAATCGCATTAGTTATGCAAAACTTATTACGTCAAGGTCTCATTCATTGTATTGTCAAGTCTTTGAAAATATCGATCTTATTAAAATAAAAGTTTATTTTCTAAAAAGAACTAGAGGTATCATAAGCATAATAATCGTAAGTACATTCGCTCGTATAAATATTCATTATGACATCTATAGAATTCTTATTTTTTTTTTGTTATTCGGATTGGTTATCCTCTGGAGCGAATATTATATTGATAAATGATTTCTATCTAATAATGAAGATTAACTGAATGATTGGTACTTGTTTAATTCTATAAAATAGGTACATGGCAGCCGCAATCGATGAAGGTGTTGGTAAAATTCGTCGACCTGAACTTTCAAGTAAAATAGATATTGAAGTTAGTATTAATGATGCTATATTACTCACTACTGATGATGGGGTACTAACAGCTCTTGATGATAGGTAGAGATATCATAATTATATGCGAAGAATCCATTTTTTTTCCTTTTTCTTTATGTAGAACATTACGTATTTGGTTACGACGACAGACAGGAAAATATTGGCCATCTGTATGTTATACATTAGAAAGTAATTTAATGAAAAATTTTGTTTGAATATTCATATATCAATGAATTGATATTTTAGGTGTACCAACTGCACTTTATTATCACGAATCATCACGTCGTCTTTTTTGTGGTTGCGATTCAGGCGTTATTCATGTAAAAAAAAAAAAAACAAACAAAAGAAAATCTGTTTATCTTTTATTCGATACTTTTTATTTTATAGGAATTTCTTGTTGCTGATGATTTTAATAAAATAACATTACAATGCACTTATTTAGGCCATCAAAGTCGTATACATGCATTATATTTTGCATCTCGTAATGAATTATTATTAAGTGTATGTCGTGAAAAGAAACTTAATTGGTTTTCAACGAATCCAGCTGATGAAAATCATCAATATATACGTGGAACTTATACATTAACATCATGGGGTATGTCAATAGCAATGGATGAAACATCTCGACAATGTTTTGTTGGTGATTCAAATGGTATTATATATTTTCTTAAAATAAATACTGATAATAAATGTCAATTGAATACAACATTAGATGGTCATACAGGTAAGTGAAAACTAACAGAAAAAAAAAAAAAAAAAAAAATTTTTAAATTGTTTTTTTCTTTTTTGTTTGTTTCTTTTAAGGAAGTGTTCAAAATCTTTTATGGGATGATGATGCTGAATGGTTATTTTCGGGAAGTTTTGATAGATCAGTTGTTGTTTGGGATGTTGGTACACATCAAGGTCTTGCTGTTGAATTAAATGGTCATTTAGATCGTTTAGTTGGATTATCTTATGATAATTTACGTAAACTTTTAATAACATGTTCAGCTGATGGTCATATTGGTGTATGGCCAATGAATGTTAAACGTAATGAAACACCTAAATGGCTTGAAAGTGATTCTTGTCAGATATGTCATTTGCCATTTTTTTGGAATGTACGTGCGATGTGGACACAAAAACAAATTGGATTAAGACAGGTTAGCAAAATAATAACAAAAAAAGAAAAGAATTTTCTTCTTCGTTTTTTTTTCTCTTGTCTATTATAGCATCATTGTCGTAAATGTGGTCGAGCTGTATGTGATAAATGTTCTCAAACACGTAAAGCTCTTCCATTATTAGGTTATGAAACAGTTCAACGTATTTGTAATGATTGTGTACGAACATTAAAAAATGATGAGTAAGATTTCTTTTTTTCTTTATCTTTTCTTTTTTTTACTGATAAGATTTTTTTTTTTATTTAGAACGGTACCACTTGCTTCATTTTATGATATACGTCAAGGTACAATGCAAATGGGTTATAATCAAGGAAAAAAAATTATGATGACTGTTGGTACTGATCGAACAATTAAAGTGAGTTTCTTTTCGATTTATGAGCAATATTCGAAAGAACATTTACAAAACTTGTGATATTTCGAATACTAAAAAGAAATCATCCATATTAATAATTTTTATTATGCAAATTAGAAAACAATATGATCTTTTATTTTAATGCATTGTCGTAATAGAATTAATAAGACTGTTAAATAAATAATACTCTACGACTCCAATATGTTCACTTTCTAGTTTTATACAAATATAACAATATGATAGAGTAAGATGATGAAAAAGAGTTTAAGAATAAAGTATTTTGAATCTCTTTTTCTATAATGTTAAACAATTAACTCAAATTCAGAGTGTGATTTTTGATAGGCAATTGAATATTTTATTTCATGTTTTTTAAACCAATGGCAAGGTTTCTAAAAAAACGCCCGGATACAATAGTTTTCATGTCTCAGAAGATTTTGCCGAAGTTAGCTTTTAACAATTCGACATGAAAGCGCGGAAAAGTCTGAACAGAATGAGGTATCGCTGCGTTTTATATGGCCGTCTCTTCAAAAGTTATCACTATTACAAAAATTGTAAAGAGCATTTTTGTGATACTTTTAACGTGTAAATGGAAGGTTGTAAAAAATGCGGCAATCCTTCATTTTTTGATATAGAATGCATTTGGATAGAAAATTCGATCGGCGATTAAAAACCACTATCTAGATTTCAGAAAGCTACTTAACATTGTAGAAAAAAAGAATCAAAAATATATTGTTATTAAACTTTTTTTCTCGATCTTATGTTTAAAAGTATAACTAAGTGCATTCTTTCTAATGATGTGTACTGAAATTCGTTTCACAGAAGTTTTCTTTTTTTCGTTTTGTGACGTAAATATTACTTTATTTTAAAAAAAACACATCAAATGTCGCTTGTTTTGTGCAATATACCTGAATAAAGAGCTCTATTCAACATTCTAGAATTTTTAGTCTGATACACTATTCATTTCTTTTGAAGTCGAAATAAAGTTGAGTTATATTAACTAATCTTGGTATTAGTGATTAATGCAAATTTTTCTGAAATTGCTGATTCAAAATCAATCTTTTTGCAAACAAAAAAAAAATATTTACATAAAATGAATGATTAATTGAAAGATCTTGTTCTAAAATTCGATTTATTCTATGAAAAAAAATTCTATCTATAATCATTTTCTTTTGTGTTTTTAGATTTGGGATATGTCATCAGTTGTGTGAAAATCAAAAAAAATATTTGTTTTATGTTTATTATTTTATGTTCAAACATTATAGCAGATTCAACATTATTGTTTTTGTTTTTGCTTCTAATATATTTATTTTTTGCCATTATCTTCTTTGATTTTATTTAATTGTTGTCTTTACTGCTTTGTTGTTTTTGTTTTTGTTTGTTCAAAACTATTCTGTAGTAATCATAATTAATTAAATTATTATCGTTAATGTACATGTATTCGATAGCGAGTAATTTATAAAAATTATGTGTTTTATTTTATAGATGAATTTTAAACGAGAAGATATTGAATTTTTTGTTAAAGATAATGTTCTATTATGTGGTTGGCTTTATTGTCCATTATCATCATCATTAAATCAAAGTGTTATTATAATGACACAGGAGTTTTCAGGTTTAAAAGAAATGGGTCTTGATAAATATGCATAAATATTTTGTTGTGATGGAAATTTTTATGTTCTCATTTATGATCATTGAATATTTGGCTCAAGTGATGGACAATCTCGACATGATATTAATCCATATGATCAAATAGATGATTATAGTTATGCAATAAATTATCTTGAAAATCGATTAAATAGTAATCAATTATCAATTGGTCTTTGGGGTACATCATCATATTCTAGTGATCATGTATTTGTTGTTGATAAAAATGAATAACAAAGAATTAAATGTATTCTATCACAAGTACTAAAAATAAGTGGGAAAAAAAAAATTTAACACGATGTTCTCATTGGCAAAAAATTCTTTTAGACGATAAAAATTGTTTATATCAAAATAAATAATATATTCCAATTGTAAATGAAAAAAATGATGATTTATCAAATAGTTTTTATAATTTTTCGTTTGAAAAATATAAATCTATTGAATGGATTAATCAAATGACACGTCGTTCTATACATTTCTATAGTGAATATGATTCCTGAAAATGTCTATAAGATTTATCTTCTATTCCATTATTAATGATTATTGCAAAAAAAATGATTGAGTTACATCGACTGAAGATCAAATCGATGTATATGAAAATCAAGTATTTGAACCTAAACGTTTAGTATTAATTGAAGGTGGACATTTTTTTTTTGTTTATTCTGACGAAAATGAATCGTTTCAAATAGTAGCGAACGAAGCACTTCATTGGTTTATAAAATATTTAAAATAATTTTATTTATCTTCTTTCAGATAAATATTTATCAATGGAACAACAAAATACTAGTGGAAAGATCTTAGTTAATGCATTATATGCTTTTAAAGCACAAAATACTGATGAAGTAAATAATAGTTTTTTTTTTTTTTTCTCAAATAAAATTTTTCTAATTCATGTATCTGTTATATTAATAAATCTTGACCTTTATTCAGAAAAATAAACCTTGGATAAATATTTTCTTTACGTCATGTCGAACAAAAGAACTAGTAGAAACATTCTTTCTGATAGATTAATTCCATTCTTGTACTTGATTGATACTGAAAAAAAAAAAAAAATGAAGAACTGTTGTCTTATCATTTTTTCTTTTATAGTTATCATTTGCTAAAAATGATATTATTATAATAACACAAGCACCAAATGATGGCGGTTGGTGGGAAGGTACATTAGATGGAAAAACTGGATGGTTTCCATCAAATTATGTCGAACAAATTGTACAAAAAACAGGTATACTATTATGAATTAATTGACATTTATATACATGTATACAGAAAGTCTTTTTTTTGTCTCCTAATAACATATCAATCGACATTGTCACTACGATTACTATAACAAATAAATACTACTAATATTGTTGATGTCTGTCATCAAACAACCAACAGGAGGATATATGGTAAATGAGAGGAAAATTGGAAGGACAAATACTGTTTCTTTTACTCGTTCTTCTATGTATTCGACAGACTCTTTCTCATCATCTTCTTCTTTTCTTCTTATGCTCGCTGTAAAAGTAACGGTGCTTAACATTTAGTTATTATATTACTATTAATAGACGGTCGTTCTATTTCGATGCGAGCGACTAGTTGTGTATCATGTCGAATATTTGGTTGTAGGACGCGTATGTAAAATTATTCATCTAGAAAATTTAATTATTGACCTTTTCTTTTTATCAAAACATTTATTCTTATTATTTATGGAAAATTTAGTTTGTATAAACGAAGAAAAGTATAAGATACACACAGACACACGAAAGAAATAATTAGTGACGAATGCTCGAACATAATAGGATAAATATATCTAAAAATAATAAAAAATACCCATAATTCTCTAAAGAATTTTATTAGAAGTTATTTTTATTTTGTATTTAGATTCAACACCATCAACACAAAGTACATCTTCACAACAATGTGCTGAAATGCGTGGTCATCGAGAAACCGTTAGTTAAATAAAAATAGAAAATAAAATATTATTTTGAACGAAATAAGATTTGTTTAGAGAAATAATAGTATAGAAAATGTAGACATTGAGTATTTTTTGATCTACTAATGAATTATATAACACTAAAGAAAAAGTTTATCAACTAAAGGTTGACCTAAACATCAAAGCAATTATCATAGCAGATATCGATCAATATAGAATATGATCTTATTCATAATAACTAAACAGAAATCTTCCAATCATTATTTTTTCGTTAGTCAAATTTTGATAAATATTTTATAAAAATTATATAGATAGTAAAAAAAAGAAAGTCATATAACATGAGTATTAATTCTTATCATGATCAAATAATATTCCGATCATATATATGTTATGCAATTTTCTATTGACATTTTAAACTTGAATTGAAATTGAAATATTATATGATTTATTTTATTTTATTTTTCAATGTATATATCACTAGATTCTTGAATCATTAGTCGAAAGTGAACAACGTTATGTAACAGAATTAGAAGATTTTATTGTAAAAACAATTCAACCGTTGGCTCATATGCTTTCAACGTAAATAATTAATCAATCATATATATACACCTCTAGGCAAAAATCTCTCTTTCTCCATCATTCTTTTCGTATAGAACTTTTTTGCTCTCAGGTGAATACTACTTACAAGGATGACTTAAGTATTTTATTGTAGTGTAGCGTATGATTGATGACCATTCGCTTCAATGAAGAATATACATCTTTCAATATAATTGAGCAATACTATAAATGAGTTGGTTGACAAAATATTTTGCTATTGTATTATGTCTTCTTTTTTTTTTTTTTTTGTATCTCCTAACTATTTTATCGGTTTGAGTTATTAAACTCTTTTCGTCTCTGATTCGAAACTCTTCCGAAAATGTAACATTGTCAATTAGTACAAATATAGATAAAGTATAACTACTTAAACATTCATAATACATCAAATAAAAAGATAACTCAGCCATGAAGTATTCTATCAACCAGATCATTTGTTGTGTTGGCCGATTGGTTTGAATGACGTACATTCTTCATTGAAGCAGGTCGTAATCATTGATAAACTATACTATAATAGTATTTAAGCCATTCTTGTAACCAACATTCACTTAAGATCAATAGAATTCGACGTGAAAAGAGTAAAGGAAGTGGAGAGGGGGGGGGGGAGAGGGAGGGGGCGAAAATTTTTGTCTAGGGGTGTATATATCGAAGTTTATTTTATTATTAATATTTATAGATCGGGTCAACCATATCTCCATTTGGAAGTTCATTATATTGATGAATTAATTAAATTTCATCGTCATTTAGTTCATGCTTTACGTGATACAATAAAGTAGAAAAGAAAAATTCTTTTTTTCTTATTTAAAAAAAAAAACAAAGAAAATACTTTAGAACTCAACATCGTATTGGTGGAATATTTCTTCAGTTAGCACCAAGTTTAAAACCAATATTAGAAGCATATTGTTATCAACATGCTAAAGCACTTTTTTTACTTAATCATAATAAGTAAACGCTTGACTTCTTCTCTTTTCTTTTCTTTTTTTTTCTTTTATTTTAAATATCAAATAGAGATCGAGTATTAACAGCTTTATCAAAAATTGATGCATCAAATGATGCTAATCATGCATATATACAATTAATTAAAAATTTATCATTACCATTAAACCGTTTAGAAAAATATGCTACTTTACTTAAAGAATATTTACATAATCTTGAAGTATATCTTATTAATTCAATTGAATATTAATTTATTTCAGTTTTTTGTTTCTTTTAATAAAAGGAATTTCATGTTGATCGCGGTGATGCACAACGAGCTGCAGAATATTATGCAGAATTAGCTGTAAATAAAGAGACTATCCTTTGTTTTGTTTTTTTAAGCTTTGTTTTTTTTTTTTTTTGGTGTTTAGTGTTCTGGTGCTGAGTGGCGTAAACGTAAAGAATGGGAACTTGATATTGTTCATAGTACTATACATGGACTTGGCTCTGAAGTAAGATAAATTTTATTTGAAAAGAAAAATATTTTTTTTTTTGTTTTGTATTTATATTTTACTTAAGTCTTTGATATCATTTGGTGATGCAATTTGTCTTAGTCCTGTTAATATTCTTTCAGAAAATCTTGGACAAATAGCACTTGAACGTATTGCTATTCTTTATCCATCAACACTTTTTCTTCTATCAACAATAAAATCTTCAACTTCTCAACAAGAATATCAAATAGAGGTTTAATTAAAAAGAAAATTTTCTTTTTATTTATCTGTTTGATTTCATTTATTAGAATCGTTTTCCAATAAATCAAATAACTGTTAGTAAAATTCTTGACGATAATATTTTAGGCAAACGTGCTTTAAAAATTAATGGTATAAATATTAAAACTTTAATAAAAAAAAAAAAGAAAAAGTCTAATAATAAAATCTTTATAGCTCCAGCAAATCAATCAATGATTATTTCATTTCCAAGTCCAGTTGAATATCATGAATGGTGTGAAAAATTTTGTTCATTATTATCTACAAAATCACCTCAATCTTATTATCATCATAATCTTAGTGCACCTTATACACCTCAACAAGTTTCAAAAGTAATTCACTAGAAAAAGAAAAATTTTTAGTATCATTTCTACAGAATTTAAATACGAAACACGTTATAGATAATTTTGCTAATCACCGACAAATTGTTTTATCTATTTAGTTTGGAAGACATCTCTTCATTAACCTTTTACTTAATCCTTTAGAAATGTAATAAGAAAATATCTCATATATTATAACGAAAGGTTATCGATATGGGCCATGTCAAGCTAAACGAGACATACTCACCTTTCATTTGATTTTGGTTATTTACCAGGCTTATTTTTCTTAGCAAGTTCTTTTAACATATACATCGAAAAATGTTGACTCTTTCAACTAACTATTAACCTTTTGGTTATCGTCTAAAGATAAACATATGTAAAATAGTATGGATGTATATCGTGCACGTTTGTTTTTTTTTCCCGTAGGAGTTGAGTATGGATCGTAACAGAATAATGATGTAGGAATTTTTTATTGCTTGACCTTAAAGTAATTAACGAATATCTCTCTAATCATAAGAGAAAAGAAATTTGAAAAACTTCAGAATAGACTCTACGACAGGAATCGTATTTGTGATGATATTTTCAGCAAGATTGAACTGTAGAAAAAATTCCTCTTTAAAATCAGTATTCTAGAGATTCTGAAAAATTATTTGTTTTTTGAACTTTTCATTCGATTATAGGAGCATTTCTTTTTTCCTTTGTATATTCCTTACTTTGTCATGTCATTAAAGAAATGTAATCAATGTTTTTGAAAAATTTAGATATGCTCACAAAACAAATTTTTGCATAGAAATTTTGTAGCCTTGAATACCGAGTTCTTTTAAAAACTAGAATTAGTAAAGTGAAAATTGATGTCAGTTTTTGTATCACATCGCTAACGAATTTTGTTTTGTACATATACGGTCTGTGAAAGTGATGGAAGAATTCCGTATTTTCAACTCTATCGTGTTTGACAAAACAATATTTTTTTCTAATGATTTTCAAATAAATTATTTTATTTAGTCGGCATCATCACTAACTGGTACAATAACGAAAACACCTCCACAAAGTACTAGTAATGCTTCTGTGAAGAATCCATTTCGTTCACCAACACCAAAAACTAACTTACAACCTGCAACATGGTCTAAGGGTTGTCTTCGACCACATTCACCGTTACGACCTCGTCAACAAGGCCCTATTAATAGTTATTCATCAACTACAACAACTGGTACAAATTTAATGAGTTCGCCAACACCATCATCAAGCACTGGTATTAATCTGAATGATTCATCAAATATTCAAAATGAAAGTGGATCTAATCGAACACTTAAACGTTTTATGACAATGAAAAAATCGAAAGCGAATGAATTTCTTAAACGAGGTAGAGAAGATTTAGAAAATACTTTTTATTTTTATTATTATTCTTTTCTTTCTTTTTTTTTTTTTTTTCTATTAGTTGAAACCAGTGAAGGTGATTCCCTTTTACTTTCTGTTATTGAAGCATATTGTATAACAAATACGAATAGTGGTACTGCTATTGCTGGTTTAAATTCTCTTATATCTAAAACACGACATTCAATACCAGCAATTGGTATTATTTAAATGAATTATTAAAACAAAAAGACATGAAAATAATCTTTTCTTTTTCTAATAGGAACTACTAGTAGTAGTAATCTTGAACATCCATTACAATTAGTTAGTGTACAACAAAATATCTCATCTGATCATTCAAACATTCCATTATCAACTGTTCAATTAACGAATACAACAAATATTGATATGTAATTATTGATTTTGTTCTTCTTTTTTTGTTTTTGCTTTATAAATAATAATAAAAAAAAAAAACCATGTTTAATTTAGTGAACGCCGTACAATGTTAGATATGATGAATGAACTTCGTTTAGGATTCCGAACACTTCAACAAGAATTAGAAGAAGAAAAACGAGCACGTCGACATTTAGAAAGTCAGATACAACGATTACTTATTGTTACAAGTGGAAAATAAATAAAGTCTCATTAAGAAGATTTCTCACTCATGTACTCTCTTTTTTTAATCTCAGGTTTTGTCACATATATATGCTTTTGTATTATACACTCATTGTTCTCTCAGTTTTTTTTTTGCTTCCATTTCTACTTGGAATAATAAAAAAAATCCAAATCTTTAGCGCTAATTTATCTTTCGCTTTTTTTTTAAAATTAATTCTTAATTAAGATTCTGATTTATATAAATCAGATTTTTTTTTTGTTTGGAATTTAAAATATATTTATAATATGCTTTCAAATAAATCAGAAAGTGTTAAAGTCTTAATACGTTGTCGACCATTTAATCAAAAAGAAATAATAAATCATTCAATAAAATGTATTGATATACAACAATTAGATAATAAAAATCATCAATGTATTATTAAATTAATTAGTCCGAAAAGATATCGTAGAAGAATATCTCGTTTATTTCGTTTTGATTCATTTTATGATGAAAATCATCGAACAGAACATATATTTCAAGATTTTGTTCAATCATTAGTATGTGATGTTACATTAAATGGTTATTCGGGTACTGTTTTTGCTTATGGACAGACTGGATCTGGTAGTCAAAATTAAGACTTGATTAGAAAGATAGGTTGTGTTTTTTTTGTTTTCTATTCAATAGGTAAATCATGGACAATGGCTGGTTGTTCATGTCATTCAGAAAGCGGATTAATTTCAAATGCTATTGAACATGTGTTTCATCTTGTTCATCATCATCAATCAAATAATGAACAAGGACAAGAATTTACAATTAAATGTGCTTATCTAGAAAGTAAAATTTAGTCTATAGAAATTTTCTATCTTAAAGGTACCTTCTATTTGTGGAGTTTCTTGGTGACCTAATGATAAATATTTTATAGATATATTATTTGTCTCTGATAAAACTTGATGAGAGTTTAAAAACTATTTGTTTTATTTTCTTCTGTTCGTCCACAATGTTTTGAAGTATACTTCATTTTTTTTGAAACACTACAATTAAAACTGTATTATTTGAGCTAAAATTATTTCATACATATTTTATTAAACATCAAAATTAGGGTCGTTTGAAGACAAATGTTAGACTTGTCTGTAAATGTTGAGCGAGAAAATTCAAGATTTGGAGTTTGACAATCAGTTGATGGGTAAATTTGAATGTTTTTTTTTTAAGTAATTTCCATCAATCAATTAATAATAACCTAACAAACCGACCGGATTGGACCAGTTCAAAAATTCTCTCAATTACAACTCTAGTTTTGGTAGCATGACTCATTAGAAAATTTTGAAATTGTAAGGGCCGATAGATCCTTGACGAGTAGAGCATAAGTTGGCATAAACTTGAAGTTCGCGAACACTATTTCCTACGAAATACTGAAATCACAATGACTTTGGTTTTCGCCCCCATTTCTCTGAGATGCTATATAGAATTAAACTGAAAATATTTTTACAGGTACTAGACACGGTTTGAAACGTACGTGTATCTTTTTTAGTTTTTGTTCCTCGAATAAAAAAGCCAAAATGTCAAAGGTACGCTTAAAAAGGCATGTTTGTTTTTTCGATAAATTTATTTTTATAGGAGCCATCAAAAATCAGTAGAACAATATTTTTTGAAACAAAAAAAAAAAAAAATATCCATCCCAAACAGTGAATAGTATAGACAAAAAATCCTCAGCTTGATTGACCATGCTAGACCGAAAAAAAAAACGAAGGCGGCATTACTATACTATTTTTTTTTCATGAAAAATAGAGTTTGAGGAAAACGTAATTTGTTATTTTCATTATGTAAATTTAATATCGTCTCTAATCTTCTAACGTTTAAAGGTTATTTATGGATAATGAAAGAGATTCGGTATACTTAATTTTCAGTTTTATTATACATAAAAAAATCTAATTTCAATTTATTTATAGTCTATAATGAAGAATTACATGATTTACTTTTACGTCGTACTTCATTAAAATCATCTTCACGTCTTGAATTACGTGAAAATCCTCGTTCATCAGGTGTACATATAACAAATTTAACTTGGAAAAATGTTTATACAATAGATGAATGTTTAAAATTAAAACGATTAGGTGATTTAGCACGAACAATGGGTTCAACACAAATGAATCGAGATTCATCAAGATCACATACGATGTTTTCTCTTTCAATTCAATATAAACATAATAATCAAACAAACATTTTTCGTCAAGGAAAATTAAATTTTGTTGATCTTGGTAATTTTTTGATTGTTGACTTTCTTTTGTCTTCTAAAACTATTCTTTAATGAAAAAAAAAAAAATTTTTTTTTTTTAGCCGGTAGTGAACGTCAAATAAAAACTGGTGCCAGTGGTCAACAATTACTTGAATCAGCTAAAATTAATCTATCTTTATCAGCATTAAATAAAGTTATATCATCATTAGTACAAACGAATACAACACATATACCATATCGTGATTCAAAATTAACACGTCTTTTACAAGATAGTATTGGTGGAACTACTAAAACAATTATGATTGCATGTATATCACCTTCAGAAGATAATTATGAAGAAACATTATGTACACTTCGGTAAATAAAAACAAAAAACAAGTTCTAGTGTATTTCTTGTGTTAGTTTCAATGAAGCAATAAGTCAGAAACATATAATTGCCAAATATGAAGAAAAAAAACATTCAAAATTAAAACATCTGTAAAAGTTTTGTAGTTAACCGAACGTTTTCATTGGAAAATACCATTAAATCATTTGAGTTATTTATCCTACAATAAAGATTCTAGATGAATCATTGATGAATCAACCATTGGAATATAGAATATGGGTTTCTCCGATATATCAACAGTGTAGATATAACAATCAGACGCACTCGCTTATTTTGTTACTCTAGTAACTATTCGAAGTGGAGAACGACTTGATAAAAAATTCTATCTAAGACTTTCCGTAAAACTAATGTAGCGCGAAGATCCCCCCATTTTGTGGAAAATGACTTGGTCTACCATTTCATGTGATGTAAGTAAATCTTTTGCCCGAATTGTACACGCTGAGAATTATTCGAATGGTATTGATTACTAATAATAGACATTGTCATTGCTATAGATTACACAATACATTCCCAGCATATATCTTCTCTGTAGTTAGATCTCGTCAATTGTTTGTTTATGAAGGTCGTTACAAGGCATGTTATCAAAGTTTTTTAATTTCATGCTTCGTTTATTCTCTGTAATCGTTCTACAAATGGTCATTGAAGTGACAAAGAAGGATAAATGGTTAACCGTAAAACTTAGCTTTTCACAGGCATAAAAAATTGATTCATTCGAATTTACACAGACTTTATCTATTTTAGGAATCGACAGAGTTTCTTAGACATTCTTATTATAACCGACCTCATCGAATGAATATTGATGAAATTTTATTCGAATACACTTAATATAACTTTCTTCTATTATATTTCATTCAATTGAAATATTTTTTATCAACACACAACAATTTGATATTTAATTTTTTAGTTATGCATCTCGTACAAAAAATATTCGTAATACACCAATTATTAATGAAAATTCATCATATGTACTTCTTCAACAATATGCTGAAGAAATCGAACGATTACGAGCAATTATTAATTCTTCAAATATGCATATGCATTCTTTATCACATTCAGTTTTATTAAATGAAGTTAAATTAGATGATCAACATTCAATTAAAACTATTCGTGATCATCAAATATCATCTGAAAATTCACCTATAATAAAGTAAATCATTAAAATTTAACCTTTTGCTATTTATGGTCTATTTGATATAGATGTCAACGCACAGTAAGTTGTCAAACAATGTCAATCATGACTGACACAGTTATTTCTACGACACAAACGACATACGATATCTATGATCATGATAATAAACAATTGCTTATAGTTTTTGATGAAGATCAACATAGTTATCAATTTCTTGCTTGGCATAGTTGTCACATTTCTTCGGAATACGATCGACAGTTAATAATACTTGTCAAAGAAAATAAAAATGAAAATAGTTGGTTAGGTACATTAACAACAGCAATAGAAAATAAACCATTAATATGGAAAAATCATTTATACCATCGTCAACATCAATTACATTTATCTGACCAAACAGATTCTATAATTACTCATTTTAAAATACAAGAAACAATCGATACAGTAGTAAGATTTAATAATTGTATATGAATTTACAAAATTTGAAAAATACCATAGTCTATCAAACATTACAAAAAAATTTAATAATGAAAACTCTACTAAATTTTAATTGAAATTTTAATAAAATTTTCAATTTGACATTGATACAAATTTAAAATTATTCTTGACTTTACTTCATGTATATTCAAATTATCTCATATTTATCAAGGAATTATTTAAAACATGTTTTTTTCTAGTCTTCATTATCAACTTTTTCATTGATTCTCTATACTTCATCGAATTATATCATCGTTAATAATATATTTTTATCATCAACTCATAAAAATCAACCTATTAATAATCATTTTATAACATTAAAAGACAATAATGATAATATTTATTATCTGTCAGATATATTATATTCATTATCAACAAATGAATTATTAGTTTTTATGCTTGATCAATATCATCACTACTATTTACATCATATTATATTAAATGAAAAACTTTTATATGAAAATACCGAACAAATAGAAATTGAACATTGTTGTTATTGCTGTTTAAATAATGAAAATAAACCTATGAAAAATAAATTAATATCTTGTTCACATTATTTATCATTTATTAATATGTCATGTGAAATTGAAGAAGAAAATAAAACACAAAAAACAAATATGCACTTCATCAATCTAAATAATCATTTCATATATTTGGATTAACCAAAGAAAAAAAAAAACCAAAGATTCATTTTTTAATTATTGAAGGATTAATCTTCATACACCTGTCGTTTATTCCCATCTATATATTTTAATCAAAGATAAATAGCTGTTACTTTCACAACAACATTTTTTTTTTCGCTATATTTTTATTGTCTACTAAACATGAAGCCTTGTCTTGTTGCTCTTTTCGTTGTTCTTTTTTCAGGTAAAATAAAATTTTTTGCTTTTTTCTTTTTGTTTTTCTAATAAACCAAAATTATTTTTAAGTATCATCTTATGCTGTCAAACCTCTATTACTTGGTTCACTTTGTTTAAATCAAGTGAACTGTTTTGTTAACCCATGTCAAGTACATAAAATGTTTTTAGCTTTTTTTCTTTTTATAAAATATTTTTTTCGCACATAAAAAAATCTAATAGGTCTCACGATGTGCTGCATATCCTGGTGCTTCATGCGTGTAAGTATTTGAAAAACAAAATACAAATCAAATAACAATTATTTTTCATTTATTAGCGCAAATTATTGTGGTGGTTGTTTTGCACACTGGTATAAGGATGGCAAACGAGTTGATTGTATGAATTGATAATATATATAGAATATTCAAATTAAACTAATTCTTTTATATATTTATAGGCTCAGATGAAGTAGCCGAACTATCAGTTGAAACTCCAGAAAGTATGTTCGAAAAAACTTAATGATCTTATAAATAAATTCATTAAATTATTTAGGTAAATGTATTACGGTTAACTGTTTTGTCGATCCATGTGGTTTTGCTAAATGCAATAAACATTCAGATGCTGTCTGCCGGTATGTTAATATTCAGTTCTTTATTTTTCTACAAAATATCTTATGACATTTTTTGTTTTCGCAGAGCCAACTATTGTGGTGGTTGTCATGCTTGGTTTTACGTTAATAACAAACGTGTTCAATGCGACTAAGAAAAAAAAACATTGTCCCGTATTTACAAAACAAATGACAATAAAACAGAAAAAAAAAGAAAAGAAAAAGACAAGAAATTAAATAAAAAATTTCAACATAAAGTTTCATGAATATAAGATAATGATGATGGATAAGAATCTAATGAATTATCTAAATTCATATAAATATGATCTGATTGAGATGTTGGATAAAAGTAGCTTTCAACTTCACGATCACATAATAAATCATCGAGCGAATTAAGTGCATATTCTTGTTGAAGAAATGTTCTAGGATTTAATTGTTTTTGTGATGATATATGATTAGGAATTTGTGATAACGTAAAAACAGCAGCTACGGAATGTCTTTGTTTAACTGGTTGCTGTTGATGTTGTTGTTTTTGTTGCTTAAGTAATGTTAAGCCATAAGAATTATTTAATAAATCTTCAGTTGTTTCTGTTGGAGATGAATGAAAATAATATTGTTTTGTTACAATATGTTTTGATGATGGACGACGAATTTCAACTTCATTTTTTGATGATAATGGAGAAAATCGATAAATATCTTTTGGCAATTTTTCTTGATGTTTTGTTGAAAGATTTTCTTTATTTGAAATCTGTTCATTTTCACTAGCAATAGTTCGTCGACGTGAAAAATCAATTGTACGATGACGATGATACTTTGATGAATGTGTGTCAGATTTTTGTTGTTTTGAGAATTGTATTGGTGTTATTCTTTCTGACATACCTTTTGTAAGAATCGATGAAGAAAATGATGAAGCAGGCGAAACTGTTCGTTGTGATCGTTGTTGTTCAAGTATGGGTCGCGTTATTCTTGTTACTAATGATGAACTTCGTTTAGGTGGTCTGATATTCGCTCGAGTGTTTTTCATGACGATTGTTACTGCTAAAACATACACAGATGCACCTTGAATGCGAATATTTACTTTGGCAGTGCTGCCACTACCTCCCACATTTTACTTCGTTTTCTTTTTTGCTTTTTTTCTCCTCTTATTCCTATAGATTATTGATGTTTGTAATATTCAAATAAATGCAAGGTGGTTGGCAAGGTAGAAAAGAGAGTTTGAGGTATATAAAGAATTTTTGTCTACAAATCTCTTACATACGTAATGCTCTATGACAAAATCCGAAGAAAAAAAGAGGAAGAAACATTGAAGGCATTATTAGGTATTCGACTGTGTCTAAGCAAACATTTTTCTGTTCTGTTGCTACAACAAAATGAAGATGATGAATTAAAAATTTAATTTTATCAAGAGATACGAGAGAAAAATTTCATATAAACGAGTATAACTAATATTTTAATAAAAAAAAAAAAGAAAGAAAAACAAAGCTATCGTGTTTGGAAATGAAAGATATTGTGGTTTTTTTTCATAAGCATGAGTATTAATAGATGAATTTCGTTTGTGAAACGAAAAAATAACATCCAAAAAAAACAAAGATTTAGTTACTATAACTTACATGAATTAAATTATTTTTGTCCTTTTCAAACTGATGTTTTTAAACCACTACCATCACGAACTCTAACAAAAATTTTGATTTTGTGTAGGCGGTGTGCTTTTCGTTTCACCTTGTTTCTTCTTCTTCTTCTCCTTCTCCTTCTTCTTCTCTTTTGCCTAGTGTTCTTTATCCATCTTCACTTTTACATAGACGTATGGTGTTTGCTTCATGTCTCACTTTTTCTTTCTCCTAACATTCATACAGGAGTCAAGCAACAAATGTGTGCATGTCATATTGTGTACCATCATCAACACTTAGCGATATGAGTCAACTTTTAAGTTAAATTTGATCAAAGACAAAGAAAAGAAGAAAAAAATAGGATTGAAATCAAAAGCAAGGTATTATATATATATCATTGTCAAGTGTTTTTTTTCACTTAAAATAAAATTAAAAAAAAGAATACAACACAATCGAAATGGTTTTCTTTGCTTACCTTGATCATCATTTTTAATCATAGATGACAATGTTGTTTTTTGTTGACTTGGGTCAATAAATAAGATATCATTTTTATGTTGTTTATTTTTTATCATTTTTTCAGTATCATTAAGCCATGCAGAAATTTTTTCAAAATTACCTTTTGATTGTCTTATTGGTGAATCATTATAATATGTAAATGGTAATGAAATAGTATTACTTGTTGTTATTGATGATGGTAATACATCATATATTGTTGTATATTGATGATATTGACGAAGTATATTTGCAGATGATATTTGCCTTGAAGTTGTTGATCTCATTGTTCTTGAATGTATCTGTTGTTTAGTTCTTGTTGGTAGAAGAAGACTTTTAAGTTTAGTTAAAAGATTATGAAGACCTTGGAAAAATAGAATAAGAAGAAAACATCTTTATTATAATCCTACGATAATAATAGTGGGAGGTAAGACAGAAAAAAAATAGCTCTGTTTACATTGAAAAAAAAAAGGCGACGGGGACCGATAATTTCTCCCAAGGACGAATGTAGACAAATTGGTACAATCGTTATACTTTTTTTTTGTCTCGTTTCTGTTTTGTTAGAGAATAGAATGATAGATAGATACAGTCGTATTCAGATGATGGAATAGAATAGAAATATATAGAAAATGTCATCTTAAGAACTACTACTATCGAAATAGCTTGAGCATAGATAGATTCTTTCACCATGTGCGGTTTTTTTTTTTCTTCATTTTTTTACCCTTTGATTTTGTCTTATGCTGCTCTTGATGAGAATATTGCTTATGGGCAATGGATGATGATTTTTTCATACATGGATCTTGAGTATTCGATACAGAAGAGCCACCTGTTGAATAACCGCTTGAAGTTGTTGTCGTTGTTTCGGGTGATAAAGTACCTGAAGTCGACTTTTTAAACATATTGGGAATCTTTGGTGCTTGTAATAATGATTGATGTTGTCGATGACGTTCGTTAGATAACATAATATGTTATTAAAAATTCAGCTATATCTATAATGAATAGTATCTGATTTAGAAAGAACGTGTTTATTGTCTGTGGTATTCAATATTTTTTTTTTAAACTGAACTTAAATAGAATAATAAATGAAGAAAAAGAAAAAAAAAAAAAGATAAGCTGAATAATTAATAAACCGTAAGACAACAAAAAATGATGTGTAGTGTACAATGTCACATCTGAAAATCGAGAAATGACAATGATGAATTTGCACAGCTTGTCCTCTTTTTTTTCTCTTCTTTCCCTATCATTCGATACCACCACAATACATATATATATATATATATATGTATATATATATTTATGTATATCTGTGTTTATATGTGCATCATTTTTCAATTTTCCATATGTATATATATATAAATGTAAATATGATTGGTAGAATTTGTCTCTATGCAAGTAAACTCTTTCAATATTTCGTTGTTCATTCATACTAATATTTTACGCTCATAATTGGCGTCTGGCGATTGTCAATATATATAAACGAAATGAACGAATACTTAAATATAAAGAACAATTTGCTTTACTCGTGTGTTCACTTCTCATGTTACTAACGGCTGGTCTCACTCATTATTCGTTGTCGTCATGTTGCCTCTCCTAATCATGCATAGTACATATATATATATATAAGTTGCAACTCAACGGAAGTAAACATATACAATGTCGAGTAGAGAGTTTTATGTGTAAACGTGCATATCTCGAGGTCACTAAAGACGATTTTGACATCGTCATTTTTTTCGCTCAATCAAACTCAATTTATTGTACAGCATATGAGTTAACATTGGTACATAGAAGATAGTAGACGGAAAAAAAACGATCGTTGACATAAAGTCTATATTTCCTATTAGTAACTACTAGTCACTAGAACAGAAATGGATTGAAGAAACGAGACGATTTCTAACTTGTCTGTCTCTTTTTTTTTTTTTTTTCTCTCTTTTTTCTAGTATATAGACATGAAAAAAGAAAGCTGTCAATGACCTGAAGCCATTTGCTTGTGTCTAGTGCTTGACTAACTCTACTTTTGTTATAATTACATTTTACACACACACATATATACCAAATAAAAGGGAAAAAAACTGAGGGACAAAAAGAGTCTACTCACAGGAAATGAGTTATGACATAAGCATCAGATTATAGCTTGTAGAAAGCGAGAGAGAGAGAGAGAGAAGAGAAAAAGGCAGATAGGTTCAAATAAAATATTTCCTTGATAATATTAGATAAATATTTTACAAGAATTTCTAACAAAATGAATATGTTTGATGATTTAAGGTGCATACTACATCTTATAATCGTGTATATGTATTAAGAGTAAAGCTGTTGTTCTCTGGTGACATAGGACAAAAAGAAATATCAAGTAATTATAGAAATAAGAGATGATAATAAATGGAACTATAGAATATATTCTAGATGAATAAATACATACCATAAAACATATTTATATACAAGGATTCATTTATTCAGTAAATAATAATCAGAATACAAAACCTTTTAATTTCCCAAAGAAAGACAAGAATGTAAAATGATTCTAATTGTTTTGAATAGAATATTTTTTTTTTATTGAGTATTCTATTTAATATCTCAAATACTTACTTGAAATACAAAACAATTATTTTGTTCAAGGATACCTAAATAAAAAAAAAATATATATTCTTATCAGTTGACATTGTAAAGTAATGTAACTACAGAATCATGAGGTTTCGAAGACTAAAGAAAAATAAAAATAAAATCTCAGATTTAATAAAAAAAAAAAAATGAAGTATGGTATAGTCTTTAATATATCAACTTAGTTGTCGGATGTTATCTTTTCTTTTTTATTAATCAGAATAAAGAAGAAAAAAAAAAAAGAATGTAAAAACTCATGACTTATTATGCTGATCAAACATCTAATCTTACCTTTTTTTTTTTTTCTATCACACTAAACATGAAACTGAGTCTTTATATAAAATCTGACTGATTATTTAAATATTTAAATTTTCTTCTTTCAAGGTTATATTGAAAAAAAAATATGTAATATGATAATCAATTTGAATTAGCGCAAAAACAAAATTCAGAACAACAACTATCTATTTCTCTTATATTAATTTGCGTTTTACTCAATGATCATGTATATATATATATTATAAAATCACTATCGATCATAGAGAGTAGAATTAGTATGTTGAATATATTAAGAATATCGAGTAGGTTTTTTTTTGTTTTACGTACCAATCAACATTGACCACAAATCCAGAGAATAAGTATTTTAATATGCGAATCATGTCAAGTATTGTGGTTACTAATAATAAATATGAAGATTTGATTTAGAAACAAAAATTAGACTTTTTTTTTTCTCTTCACGATGTTTTTCTATCTTGAATCCCAAGAGATATAAAGATGAGATGAGAAAAATATTTATTATGTGAATGTTGTTGTTAATCAAGAGATTATTACATTATTTCAAATATGTCAAGATAAAATAGAATATAAACTACAAATGACAATTCATTACGTTTCTTTTTTTCCATTTCTTATTAACATAAACTATTATCTCAAATATATCTTACTAAATATAAATAAGAAAAACTTGTCAAACAAAAAAAAAAAAAATCAATCAAATTTGAAAAAAATTAGTATACTAATGATTTTAATTAAACATGCGATAGTTGTATCTAAACTATGGAAATTTATAATGATCAATCAATAGTCTTTGTTCAGAATGAATATATTCTCATCGACATTTTTTTCATATAATCTAGATCTAACGATCAATGTATTCACATATAAAGAATAGCTTAAAAGTTTAGTATACTTGTATTTTTTGAGATATTGTCTTAGTAGTAATAATCAAGGTGAATCGAGAAAAAAGATTTAAGTAACTGAAAAAAATTTCCTATGAGTTGAAATCTTCTATTTAAAATTTTTGGAGAAGGATTCTCTCTTGAAAATAAATTCATCTGGATAGATCAAATATATTTGCAGAAAATGAGATACTTCCGAGCTTTCTATGACCTTTCTTCATCTAATTGCGCTTGATCTATGAAGAATCCTGAAGCGTAAAGCAATAAACTTGTTTGAAAAAAAAAAGAAAACAATGGAAAAAATAGCTTTAGGGGCTTTTCATAAATCAAATGCAGTTGAAGGAAGAAAGGTTTTCAAGAACTCGGAAATATCTCATTTTCTCTCAAATATGTTTACTCGATCTAATGAACCTATTTTCAAAATGTTTTCGACCGAATACAGAAAACTAGTTATAACAATCTCAATTTTCCAGACGACTTTTTTTTAACAAAACTTAACATGAAGCCGAAGAAAAAATTTCTGTTCATGAAGAATTCTTGCATCTACTCAAATCTTTTTTTTTCTGATTCATTGCGTCTATTATCTCGGAAAATACAAGTGTGCTAAACTGTTGATGAAATCTTCTCAGATATTTTCTTCTGATTTCCATGATGTTTTGCCAACAAAAACTACATAATGTTCTAGTATAAATCCTACAAGGAATTCGATTCCTATGGAGATATGATGAAGTTATTGAATTTTTAATATTTCTATTTTCAAGAGATCTTTCCAGTTCACCAGGTTTTTGAAAAATTATCTTTTCAAATTTTGTTCTGAAACTGTTATTTCAATTAAAAAGTTTCGCATACCGTAGCTTGAATGAAGAATTTTAGAACTATTAGATTTCATATATTCGAGATACAAACCTTTCAAAATATCATTGTATTGTGTAATATCCGTGAAAAAGGCATTTATTGTTTAGAAAGTTAATAGATTGAAGATTGAATATCTAAAAATTCTGAGGCTAATCTCACATGCAAATGATTGTGAGCTCTTTAAATAGAGATATGTTCAGAAGAGATGTATTGATGATTGTTTTTTTGACCCGAGCTGCCTCATGGATGGAATGATTTTTTTTTTCTTTGGTCCTCGAGCAGTTTTACGGGTTGAAGAGTCATTAATCGGTCGCGCACTAACCCACGGCTTAATATAAATTTTATTAGAAAAGTATTTACTTACAAATTCGTTACTTTCTTTTTTATTGACGCATGTTGTTTAATTACTTGTGAAACTAAGGTTTATTTATGATTATAATATCATGTTTTCTTTCTGAACATATACATAAAAATTACAAATCTTCAATGAAAATTCAAGACAATAAATAAGAAAAAGTGATAGTATACGTTTATATATATATACAATGTTAATATAACGATTAAAGAGAAATAATTCTCACATTGGGTATTTTTTTCAAAGATATATATTGAAATTTTCTACAATAATAATAATAATAAATCTCATTGAATTGATATGATGATTTTATTATAAGATTAAAACTGAAGTATCATGTGATGAGGAAATGTTCTATTAGTCTGAAAGCAACAAAACTGAAAATAACATCAAAAAATGTTTACTTTTTCCTTTAAGCAACATTCTTGATGATGATATGAACTATGTTCCAATAAAACTGAAGTAAAGTAATATTTAAAAAAACTATTAATTTTCGTCGAAAATATAATCATTACTGCGGATGATCTTCTAATTCATTGGACTTTAAACTATCAGATTATTCTATTTGAAATAGTGTCAATAAGAATATTAATTCTCAAAAAATCAAAACACGAGAAATCCGAAGAAGAAAAAAAAATGAAAGAAGCGTGCCAAACTATTAATGTCATTTATGTTCGCAAAGTGATCGATTCTTTTCTTCAAAGAATCCGTGCAGCTGTGCAACACAAGGACGTCTTTTTTTTTGTATCACTTGACTTCAAGTTTTTTTAAGCATGTATCATAGCATCATGCAAAACAATACCTTTTACTGTTATTTTCATATTTATTTCTCTCAGAATAAATTCATGCCGTTAAAATCGCTAAAAAATTGGCGATTAATCGTAATATATATCTAAATGATAATTGAGAGCTGAAACATGATAAATCACCGATTATTTTTCGTTGATTCTGAGGGTTTTTTGTGATAATGTGTGATTTTATA